CATATAGATACATATACTGATATATATATATATATATATATATATATACATATATATATATATATATATATATATATATATATATATATATATATATATACATATATATATATATATATATATATATATAAAAAAAAAATTTTTTTTTTTTAAACCGGGTACCCGATCGGGTACCCGGGTAGAATTTCTATTACCCGGACCCGACCCGGTTTGGGATCATCGGGTACCCGAACCCGGGAAAAACCCGGCTATGTAAAAAATTACCCGATCCGGTCGGGTAATACCCGACCGGGTCGGGTTATACCCGACCGGGTCGGGTTATACCCGACCGGGTCGGGTTATACCCGAATAACCCGACCCAAATGCCCACCCAGATTCTTCATAACCAGCCCGTTTGCAAAAGAAGAAAAAACAACAAAAAATGCTTTCTCCATCTAAACCCGCCGGAAGACAAAGGCACTTCACGCACAAAAAACAGAGGGCCCGGCACAACACACACGCACAAAGCATAACTCGATCCAAAATCTTGATTTACAAGAGATATAAAAAGAACCCATCAAACATAAAGCATAATCCTTTTGTGGGGTGGGAAGGCAGGTGGTGATGCGGCGGTGGTGCGGCCGTGGTGGTGGTGATACGGCGGCAGAGTGTTCGATTGAAGAATTGGGTTACGGGAGGAAGACGATGGCCTGGGTGATAATTTTCTTTTTCTTTCTTTTTTTCCTTTTTGCATTTTATTCATTCACTTGAAACATAAATTATTAAAAAATATAAAGGTAATTTAGTTATTTCATATAAGTCAACTGCTAATTTCAAAATAAGGGCCGGTGTGCTTTGTCAAAAATAATATAGGGGTGTATATGCTAATATTTTTGACATTAGGGGGCTTTTAGCCATTCAAAATTTCATAGGGGAGTCTATGCAATTAGCTCCATATATATATACATATATAGAGAGAGAGGGAGAGAGGGCTGTTTCAGAACTTCACAAAAATCTCGTTCGAAAAAAGGGTAGGGATGTCGGAGGCGTACGAGAGGGTGAGGGGCGGAAGACTGGCCTTCAAGGGCGGCGAGCTCGCCACCCGCGAAAAAGCCATAGACAAGAATAAGAAAAAGAAGAAGAAGAAGAATAATAAGAACAAGCTCGCCGACGACGCCGTTTTGGCGGAGGATCCGAGTGTCAGCGTGGTGGAGGAGTCCGGTTCCGACGTGTACACCATCGACGCGGCGAAGAAGATGAAGTACGACGAATTGTTCCCCGTCGAATGCAAGAAGTTCGCGTACGATCCGAATGCGAAGAAGAAGTCCGTCGAGGAAGCCCTAGATGATCGGGTTAAGAAGAAAGCCGATCGCTACTGTAAATGAACGAATTCAGCCCTCGATTTCTGCTGGTACTGGAAAAGAAATTGCTTGCGCAACTGTTTTTCTGCAAAAAAGTTGATTAATTTGCACATCTAGGGCTTTTCCAATTTCAATTAAAATTAGGGCTTTTCCATTTTCAATTAAAATTAGGGCTTTTACTTGTTTCGATATAATTAGAGTTGGCTCAGTCGAGTTGATTGATGTTGTATGTGAAGAACATGATTCCGACTTACTTCATGTCGGAATTTGGAGAAATTAATTGGACAAGTGTTTGATTCTGAAGAAAATTTCTGCTGTTACAATTTTTCATCTCTCTCTCAGTTATTGGTAATTATTTTGTGCAGTATTTTCAGTTATTGGTATTTTTTTGTGCTATTTTTCAGAATAAATTAGCTTTAGCAAGCTCTGCTATGCTATATAAGCTCATAGCTCTACTGGTAAAGAATTTAGAATATGATGATGTTTAGGTAGTATTGTTGGTTAATTCTTCATTCAAGCTCGCGACTTTTGCGAAAAGTTCGAGCAAAACATTGGTTACAGGATGATTTAGATTACGGATTTACGGTATAATTCCGTTTTATTGTGTTCTTGAAATCCAGATGGATTTTCCGTTCTGCGCTGTAATTTTTTCTTGAGCCAGCCGATTACGGCACTGTTTGTCAATGAACGATTGATTATTTGCTGATTATGGAAATTTCGGATTTAGAGTTCACTTGTTGATGTAACAGATTTGGTAATTACACCTCAGATTGCAATATATATTTTGTCGAAATTTTGAGGATTGATTACATATATCTGGTCTTGAAATTGCTTTGTTAATACTTGCCATTGCATCTTTTTCTTCAGGGCAAATTACGGCCACCTCTGAGGTAAGATCAAATTACGAAAAAATCCCTCCGTCCCAAACTATGTATTGTCTTACACGTCCATCTTTACGGTGTCAAATTTACCTATTGAAGCAGGGGGGTTTCGTAAGATAATACATAGTTGAGGGGGGTTTTCGTAATTTGATCTTACCTCAGGAGTTACCGTAAGTTGCCGTTTTCTTTATATGACAATGGATCACATTCTGGATTTGATTCAATAACTCAGAACAGAGAATCTAAAAGCAAATATTTCAACAAACTTTTGTACAATTTCAACAAGTAAAAGCATAAAACAAAATCTATGTATCTTTTGCATTTCTATATTGAACAACTTATTACTTTAATCTTCCGTTCGAAGGAGAACCGAAGAAACACGATCCACTAAGAAGACGACACCTGTACATTCTTCCCCAATTCGACACATGCAAGATCCAACCCTTCTTCTTCCTCTTGTTGCTCCAAAGTCTCGTACAGAGGAGCATTCCTAGTTTCAGGCAACCACAGACTAAGCAAACCACTCACAACAGACGAAACTCCGAACACGAAGAACGACAGAGAAGGGCTCAATCTCCCATACACAACGAGCAAAGGCGAAATCGAAGCACCCAACATCAACGCTTGTCTCATCATAGACACAGCAAAGTTCCTCACATTCGTCGGGAAAAGCTCCACGCAGTATGTGTACAAAACATTGAAAGCAGTCGCAGCGGCCATAAACCCTAAGGCCTCCATCGTCAGCTGAGGCAAGCTCCCGCCGCCGCGATTTTTCTCCGTCGAGAAAACAATGCAGAAGAGGCAGAAAGCTCCGGCGAGGAAAGCTGAGGTGGAGAAGAGGCGGCGGCGGTTGGTGGTGCCGAGCAGAAAGCTGCCGACGAAAACCGCCGGAATCTCCATCGTCGCATTTATTGCCACCGTAAAGTATAAGTTGAAGCTGAGATTCTCGACGTTGAGTTGAATCCCGTAATACATGAAACCAATCCCAAAGCCTGTGAACATGATCAGGGCCATTCTTCTCACAGCCCATCTAGTGGTCCAGAGCTTCTCGATAGGTGAGAGGGTATTTTCGTCTTTTTTCCCGTTATTACTATTAGATGGTTCTAGAAGGGTGATATTTGGTGGGATTTCTTTTCCATTGATTCTTGCGTAATTTCTCAAAACATCGAGGGCTTCTTCGCTTCGACCCCTCACAAGAAGCCACCTTGGAGATTCCGAGACAAAGGGTATTAGGACAAAGATTGAATAGACAAGTGGGAGAAACGAGATAATCTTGTACAAATTTCTCCAACAATTTCTTGTCGGATAAGCAATTAATGGGATCGAGAGAAACCCCGTCGCAAAGAAGAAAAACCCATATTGGCTGACCTGGCCACGCCATTTCCGACCGACGGCCTCCGTAGAGAGGACTAAACAGCATATTCCGATTCCGGCACGGGATACTCCGTTTGCGAAACGGAGGAGAGAGTAAATCCATATGTTTGGGGAGAGAGAAGTGAGGAAGATTGTGATTGATGTCAGTAGGCATGAAATCAGCACTGATTTTTTCCTGCCAAAAGATCCATCGGCCAATCGTCCGAAAACTGCGGAACCTATCGAATGCATCGATTAAAGCAAAAAAGGCAATCATCATTAAGGTACATATATAAATATTCAATCTTGATACTATAGAAAGAAAATAAAAAAAATTCTTGAAGTTCGAGCCGTTAGTTGCTAGTGGCGGCAGTACATCGCTATGGGGGCCGTCGCCCCCCACTACTTATTTTGCATGCCGGGATTTGTTATTTTTCGAGCATTGTAGCATTGACTACAAATTTCTACCATGGATGAAGCATGTGATCTTGATGCAATACCTACTTTCTTGATCCTATTTTTTTATTTTTTCAAATGCATTTTACTTTTAATTTAAATAAATTTATTTATTTTTTTAAATATGCAATACCTATAAGAGATCCAAGAAAGTAGACTGAAGTAGGAAGAGCAGCAAGAAATCTCCTGTCACAAACCAATCCCCACTCCGCAATCGTGGAGCTCGAATTCTCGCCGCTCCACTCCCAAGTCCCCGCCTTCAACCCGCAAACCGAACCTCCAACGGTGGCTGCACCACCGCACTCCGGCGAGACGCACCGCCACGACTTCGGCTGAGCATCGGTGAAAATGGTGACAAGGGTACTTTGGGAATCAAATATCCTAGCCAGTGAAACCAAAAGCACCTGAATAAGCTGTGAGAATCCAAATGACCCCACATACCCTTCCAACACTTCATCCACTGTCAGCTGCAGCTTTTTTCCCACAAGTTCTTGTTTTTCTTCATCCATTTTTTATTTATTAATTTCTTGCAGCTTTTCTTGCATTAAATTAAAACAAACAGCCCCTTAATATATATATGTGTGTGTGTGTGTGTGTTGGTTGGAATATTTGGAGATTAACAGGAACACTTGGCTAATAGTAATATCCACGTGGCACTGGCTTTTGGTGGAAGGTGCTGTTTGTTTGACGTGTTAAAGCACTTGTGGAAAAGCTGGATTTTTGATTCCTCGGAGGTGGCAATCTTACTAGGACAGAACTAACAATGTTTGTGCTTTTAATTAGGACACACACTAATTAGCACTAATGTTTTACTACCTAAGACTTCTTGTTATTTCTATTTATTTTTTATTTTTTTATTTTTTTAATTAGAGCATAAAATGATTCCATTTAAATGATGCTTTCAAGATGCTGATTTGATACCATAAGGAGAGAATTATAAATTACATGTTAGAAATTTTGTTTAGTTGTAAACTATTTTTTTTTGTTTTGTTAAATAGCACCCCCGTTGTTTGAGCTTTGTGCACATGACCCTCGTACTTTCAATATAACACATGACTCCTTATATTTGAATATAACCTCTTCGTATTTAGAATAATTATTTAACAAGTGGAATACCATAAGGGGGTTATGTGAACAAAATTTAAATTACAGGGAAGTCATGTACTTATATTGAAAATACAAGGGGGTTATATGCACAAAACTCAAACTACAGGGGGTTAAGTGCTATTTACCCTTGTGAAGTTGGAGCACTTTGGTTGATTTTTGTCCAAGATTAACTGTACAAACTTTAAAGTTGTTGATAAATTCTCATCATTAAAATAAAATAAAATAAAATAATGTTTGTGGAAATATAATTTTGTGACAAGGGACTATTACTCAATTTGTTGTGTCCTTTTTTGTAATATAACCAGATTTGTGTGCATTGTAATTGTCTACGGAACGGAATAATAAAGTGAATATAGTTTTAGGGCAAGATAAAGATTGCGTGAACTTAATTGACTGTCGCAACAAATTTTGGGGTGTACTCCATTTTTAATGGGTAAATTGAGCTTTATTTAGTGATCATCCAAATTACGTGTGTAACAAATTAAAAATGGTCCCTATATTTCTTTTCAGCTGTATATAGTATAGAAATTTCAAATTCTTAACATTTCCGCGTTTCTGATATGTTTCGTGCTGGACAACAGCCGGATATTTTATGGGCCATTTTACAATTTCTAGAAAGTTGGAACATGTTTGTGAATAGCGAATTTTCGAATATTTTTGTTACTTTTGTAATTATTTACATAATTTAACGATCAATTGCAAATTGATGGTTGATAGGTCAATTTTTTTTGAATGTATTTGTACGAAAATATATATAAATAAAAACTCATATAAAGTGTATATTTGGTATATAATGACCATTTATCAACACACGCCAAAATGGGTCTGCATTTTTATGTATGTATAAATGAACGATGAAGATGTATCTAATATATGTAGGGTGAAATATATGCATGCGTGCTAGAAACGCATACCTAATATATGTATAAATCCATGCATTATGATTGATGATTGATGGAGATTGCCACTCTTTAATCAAGGATCTAAATTAGGTTTAATGAAGGTTACTGATTAATTAGCTACTAATTAATTTTAATCGGCCCAAGAAGAAAAAAACAAGGCATATAGGCTATAAACATCAATTCTTTTGGTAAATTACGGCCCTTTTTCGTTACGGTGAAATTACGAAAAAATTCTTTATGTTTGAGTAATTACAACCACCTCTCGACTATGAATTTTCTTACACGTCCACTTTTGCGGTGTCAAATTTAGTGGAATCTTCTAGATTATGTGGGATATTATCCGATTTATATCATTTTTTTATCCCATTCGAATTCCACATTTTGAAACAAGATGATCATAAAATATGTCTCTTGGCTTTGGAAATATCAGATTATTGTGCATTAAAAACTGCATTTTTGCATAAAATGAATATAAACTAGAAAGCATTCCACAAAATCTAGAAAATTCTGTTGAATTTGACGTCATAAGGGTGGACGTGTAAGAAGATTCATAGCTGAGGGGTAGGTTGTAATTACCCAAACATGAGGGATTTTTTTCGTAATTTGACTTTACCTCAGAGGTGGCCGTATACCCTTTTCAAATTCAAAAAAGAAAAAGACATGAACAATAACAATCGACTCTGAAAATATCATGCAATACATAGAGCACACCTCTTATCATAGGCATTAATCTGTTAAAGAACCAACTCCAAGTCTGCATAAGAAAATAATTACTTCAACTCGAACACATAAATCTTCCAATCTCAAAGTGACGAACCATTTTTTTCCCGATTCTTCTAGAAATCTTACACAACGGTACAATATATTCGCACAAAAAAAAAAGAAAAAAAAAAACTACCAAGGTTTGTCTTTTTGATACAAATTCTCCTAGCGTTTAGTACTTCCAAGGCAAAAATATGTCTCAAGTTAAAAAAAAAAAAAAAAATATCGTCGAGGCACAACCAATAGAGAAGAAGCTAACTCGCCTGGAAATCCAAGAAAAGTCTCAATTTGTGCAGAAGAAGCTCGTTAGTTCCATAAAGAGGTTTACCGCTAACGATCCAATCTTTCTCAAGAAGTCCCGCTTTCTCACTGTTCATCATCTCACCGTGAAAAGCAGAGACAATCGAGTAAATCGAAGTTCTAAGTATATCAGCCAATGAAAACGCTTTCGCATAAAGAGGGCTCCCTCTTATTTTGCCCATGGCACTAGCTGTGGACTCTCTTCTCCCAGTGTTCACCGTGGCCCACTTGATTCCAGCAGGGCCCATGAAATTCGAGGACTGAATGTTTGTCTTTTTCCCCATGAGAGTTTCGACAGCTAACAAAGTAGACAGCAATGTCGAGATTACAGTTGCATTGCTGCCCGAGAGTTGGGCGACGCCAAATTTGTCTTCCTTGTGTGACCGTGCGGTCAGTGAAGCAATGATTCGGGCAGACCATGCACAGAGCTGCATGCAATTCGCAACTTAGGTTAATGACAAAGATAGATGATATATATTATATATATAGGCAGAGTAAATGTAATAGTTAACTCTCTTGTTTTCTTGCATAATTCTCTATTTGTCAGATTATGATGTACAAAAATATATGGCTTTTATAGTTTCTTTCTGATGACAACTGCTAATTGAATTTCACCGGGTGAATTTTCAACTCAACATGACCTACTGGACGGACAATGTGCACGTGACCTACATACACATACATATACATTTCTATATCCACAATAAACATATGTATATAAGTCCTTATTGAGTTATTTATTCAATACTACTCTCGTGAATACGCAACAAACTTTGAATACTCACAGATCTTTCTCGTTGATAGAATGCATGTTGCCTAATGATATTCACTTTCTCTCTCTCAAACAATTTTATGTTTTTATATGCAACACAACTTTTTCATTTCTAAAAACAGTTAATCTATGAGTTTTCAAGTATTAAAAATCAAAGCATGAGGGAATGTGATTCAAATTCACTGACCAACTCAATCAAAATGAACCTAACCAACTTGAACAACTCGATTGGAAATATAATTAAGTAATTTTTTGGCACCACACAGTTATCAGGTTAGGTTAAATTACACAGCCGTCCAAACCACTGCTACACCCTTAATAGATACACATAATGGAAATAACACTAAAGCTTAGTTACATGAATCCCCCTTGGATTGAAAAAACAAAGTGAAGCGGTGGAATAAATAAAATTAATGTTTTCAAGAATTTGGAAGGGACGATAGTAGAGCCAATACAGAAAAGACACAATGATTCATGTGATAAATTACTAAGAACAAATTTTCAAATCCGAAAAAATGGGCATTATCAAGAAACGATACAGATACTCTAAAACCAGACAAAACGACCACTACACCCTTAATTGATACACATCATTGACATAACAGTAAATCCTTAGTTGCATGAATCGGAATCCCCTTTGGATGTAAAGAATGTGAAATCGCGGACGAAATAAAAATAAGTTTTCCAGAGTTTAAAAGGCACAATAAAGCCAATACATGAAAAAACTGAAAACATAAGGCAGAACACACATAGCTGAAAAACGACATTTACTACGACATTCCCTGTAATACACATTACCAATAACAAGTTTTCAAATCCAAAACAAACAGGCATGATCAAGAAACACTGACCTGGGAGTCGAAAAACGATTCAGAGAGTTTCGAAACCGCAAGCCGCTCAGCGGGCGAGCTCAACTGATCAGATAATTGCACCATTGACTTTTCAGCTGAAGAGCTCTCCAAACCATCAGCCAGTTGTTGAATGAACTCTTTCAGAGGCTGCATGCATGCATCTACAACTCTTGTATACGTATCGCCCGTCTCTTCAAAGAACGCAGCTCTTCGCCATGTATCGACATTGTTCTCACATACCATACAGAGATCGAGGTAAGCAAGGTACTGCAAAAGTGACTTTGGTGTGCTTTCCTCTAGTGTAGCTAAAAGAGACTCGCTCGGGTTTGTTTCTGCAGCTGCTGATCCTTTTAGAGGCGCAAATACAACCCTCTTGGTATGCAGTACCTAGAAATCCATTGCAGATGTCTTAAATCTTTATACGGTGGTTATAAACTTATAGCCATAAACAGAAAACAGCTAGTTGAGGGAGAAACCTGGTGTAAATGATGACTGAGTTCCCAACAAAGAATTACGAAAAAACTGCCGATGTAGAAAATGATCTGCTCAGCTATGAGCAATCCCACCGAACCCCGATTTCTGTACTCAGTAGGCAGGAAAAAAGCAAGTACCCCTGATAATACATAGCCGACAGCAGAGAACCTTAAAGCCTGTCCGATAGATGAAGGAAGCCCCATCTTCAAGCTGAAGAAAGGAGGACGCTGTTGATAAACGTAGCTTGTGTTAGCACAAGAATGAATATCATGGATAAGAACAAGAATCTCATTTCTAACGAATAAACAATCTTCGTTGAGCACAAGCTCGATCGCAAATTTACTGAACAATATGTGAAATCTCTGCTCGGGAATGTAACACTATTTATTTTCTATATTCAAAATATCTCTTCATCTTAGTCAACCATCATTACAAACCCACTATTCGATCCAATACAGCATTAACAATCGAATCATCAAATGCTACTAACTGAAAGAAAAAAAGCAATATTAAAATATGAACAAACCTGAACAATAGGAAAACGCAAGACCCAGCGGTGGTGATAAACATAATGCAACCCATAGAACATGCCGATCAGAAAACCCCTAAATCCCAAATTCCCCAAAACAGCAACCCAATTCGAAGTCGAATCGATACTAGAATAAACATCACACGCCCAGCACGCACAAACCACCGCCACCGCCCCGGAGGCAGCGCAGAGGGCTACGAACACCACGAAGCAAAACGAAACCCCAACCCTCTTCCTCAACAAACTCTGCTCGCCACCAGACACAAAAATCAAGCGGACGAAGGAGAGTGATATCTCGAGAGGGGAAGCGTACGGCAGCGCGTGAGGGGAAGAGACGAAGAAGAGGAGAGCTGCGAAGGTGGTTAGAGAGAGGTGGAATAGAAGGAGAGAGATGAAGGAGAAGAAAATGGGAGTGAAAGGGTTTGTGGTGAAGGGGGAAAAGAAGAGGGTTTTGAAAATGAAGAGTAGGAAGGTTGATTGCAGAACCTGCCAGATTAAGAAGCTTTTGAATCGCTCCGTGACGATGGTGGTGCGGCCGCCGCCGCCGCCGTCTTTGTCCTTGAACAGAGCCCGGTCTAGGGCGGCGGAGATTGACATTTGGGAGAAGTGTGTGCAGTGTGCACGGCGGTCGGAAAGGGGGCGGGAAAAAGGGGGCGGATTGTAAATTGAAGAAGTATGACTCTGTTCAACTTCAAGGGCTAAATTTTTCAAACTTATTAGTAGCTAAATTAAATCTTCAAATAGTAGCTACGGTAATTTGATTTATTTATCTATTTATTTATTTTTATTTAATTTTTTGAATATTTTTTTAGGTTGAATTAGATAAAAGTGATTAAAGATAATACTATGTCGAAGCTTGTGTTTGAGTTTACAATGGAGATGGGTTCGAACGAGCTTTAGTGAAACTGAATACCAATTGCACTCGACTACATATTTTGAGGTTTTTTTTTTTTTTTTTTTTTTTTTTTTTTTTTTTTTTTTAATAAAATCGAACTTGAGTTTAAGTCTAGTTTCGTGGTTTTATGGGACGAAAACTTGTGCCGAAATTGGTTCGTTATATTAGCGAATGAGCTGAATTTTAAAGAATGATTTCAAATCGAGTATTTAGTAACTTGGTTTAATTTTTAACACTATATATAGTTACTTAATATAATAGTGTAATTAATGTATATGAAACATGAGTTTCCTCGAATTTGAAAAAAAAATGCTATAAATTACATTCGAATTCAATTTAATTAACAATTGAAAATATTGGGTATGAAAACTCAATATTTTAATTGACCGATGAGCGTTGACTTGATTTGAATATGTAGATAGTTTATTCTAAAAAAAAAAAAAAACTGACCGAGCCCAAAGCAAAAATAATGGGCCCACATATATAAACCATCAAGCTCAAAGGTCGAAATTGGACGGATTGATCCAAATTAGGATTTGTTGGGGGGGGGGGGAATTTGGAAGTGAATAATACCCATTTTATTTCAAATAAGTTCGAAAAAATCGGAATGATAAACTTCTTCCAAAATTGGAATTTTTCACAGTCGGCGGAATTTGAAAAGTCCAATTGTTTTTCTGACACATAATACAAATTTCATAATACTATTGATATTATAAATGCAATTTCAGAAGAAAAAAAACTTTAAAATTAAAATCGGATCGAAAATCGTTATCCAACTTGTATTACAGTTTCGTTCCAGTAAATATCAATAATTAAAAATATTGTTTCATAATCTACATATTTGTACGAGTATAAAAGATATTATTTCACTATATAAATATTTGTATCAGAATCGACGAAATTTGAAAATTGTATTCCAATTTTCACCTCTAATCAAGACCTATTACACTTACAAATGTTAGGGGGGAATCACACTTTTTTTTTTTTTTTTTTTTCTTTATCTAAACTAATTTCAAATTCGTACCGAGAAAATAGTAAAAGTCGATGCAATATCTAAAAGAGCTAGTAATATGTTGATATTATATCTTTAATTTGCGGGAGAAAAAGAAATTAAAAAATTTCGGATATGTTTTTCAAAAAATAAAATTGGATAAAAAAATCAAAATATAATTTTGCACAAAATCGATTGCAGAGGTACATATCTGAGCCCTAAATCCACCCCTAAACTGCAGCATGAATCACGAGATCATGAAGAAGAAGAAGAAGAAGAATGACAACGGTGAAGAACAGCAATTCGAATTCTGTGAGGTTTGTAAATTGAACCACAACCAAGGCCGCCGCCACATCTACTTCCCGGCACACAAATCCTCACTCTCCGCCCTCCTCACGCGCCTCCAGTCCAAGCTCTCCGACGTCAAACCCTTTCTCAAAACCCCCATGCTGCTCCCCGCCGAACACGCGCAGCAGAACCGCCTCTGGTGCGTGTTCTGCAATCGCGACGTTATTGAGCTTGATACCCCCTTCGCTTGGTCAGTAATTTGAGATTTCTGTCTACTGCAATTATTTTTCTTGAGTTTTCAATTTAAAAAAAAAATAAAAAATTTGCCGTTTCTGTAACATGGTTATTGTTGTTTACTGAGGTTTTCAGTGGCAAGGCGATTGAGCATTTGGCGAGCGGTGAGCATTATAAGCGAGTGAAGGGGTTCCTGTGGAAACACGGAGGCGGGACGCACCGTGCTGATTCGTTTCGTGTTGTTGAAGGTGATTTCAAAAAGGTAAGAAATTTGCGTGTCGATTGGCTTTTTTGCTTAGATATATTGGATATGTTTCAGCTGATTGTTTGTCTACTCGTCTTGCATTCGTACTTCAGATCGCGTGTAATGTTGTACTTAATTTCCCTTTGGCTTTACATTCTTGCAGTGGGAGAAAAAATGCAAGGCAATGAAGACGGAAGCTGCTAAAGCAGAAGCAGTTGGAGCGTCGAATAATATCCACAATGAACTGAACGCTGACTATCTTAATAGTTTTCATGAAAATAATACGAATTCTCTTGATTTTAATATTACCAATGGTGTTGTTGTGCCTTTACAAAGCTATACAAATGAGAAAGTTCAGGTGTCCTGTTCGGTACCGTATTCCGCCTCAGAGGCTGGTTCTACCTCATATGATATGCGTGGGAGGATGCAGATGGTAGATGCGCAATGCTTGAAGAATTCCACAGGTATTAATTAATATATTAAAATTATATTATGGTTTAATATGTTTACTCACGTACATTACGTTCATCGCTCATTTACAGTAGGATTGCAGATGGTATTACTAATCCGTTTGCTTTTATATCTGTATTAGGTTTCATGGATAATCACCTTTCGTCCAGCTCTCATGTTGACTATCTAAGTAATGGATCTGTGAGTTCATGTTTTATTACACTTCTACTCTTCTTTTTTTGCTTATTCGTGTTGGTTAGGTATCTGTTTGTCCTTTCCTTCTGTGTATATATTGATGCTTCTACTTTGCCACATCCAATACGTTGATATTCTAAATGCTCAAAAGGAGCTTTTATAAGCTGAAAAACTTCGAGCAAGAGTTAATGTGAATATCAACATTTATGTTATGAATGAGCTGTTGCCATGTAGTACAAAATTCTTAGTTAGATACCAACTGTATGCTATCCTTGAGAATCCTTCCATTGGCAATTTTTCCTTGATGGAAAACGTCCGATGGAAAAACATGTCTAAAATGCGTAGGCGCTAAAATATCGTCATGCTGCATCTGTTCTTTAAGATTTAAGATCGTTTGGGTTGTTTTTGAAACCCTCTCGTATTCATTCAAGTTTTTTTCGGTATTGTACTTGTTGTGCTTATTTCCTGGAATAGTATTTGGATTGGTAGAAGTATGCTTCTTACTCAACATCAGCTCCTTAGATATTTGTAACAGGCATTATTGTTTTATTTCAGAATTTTATCGACTGATATCATTGTGGTTCGTTAGCAGGTACAGCCTGGAGTAAAAGTATTTCATGGAGACAGCAGATCTTTGAGTAATTTGCTTCCTTTTGTCTTTGATATTTTTTGTCTTCATCACCTGCAGATCTCGCATATGTTTGTTGTGTTTTTATTTGAATAATACTAGTATAGACACTAACAAAAACAAGAAGTATAGATACGAAACCTATTCAGCTGAAAAAGTATAATCATATTAGGAAAAGATAAATGCAAATTTGAAACGATAGCTTGTTTGTCAATTCTTCAAGTTACAAATTCGATAAATGCTATTGAATTTTGCATGGTCTTTTGAGGGATCATTTTTCATCTCCGTTCTTTTCCCAACAGATTCGATGAACCTGCAAAAGATTTCCTATTCGTCTAAAGAAGCCATCGGTGGGAATGTGCACACTGGGGCAACTCCACCTTGGTTTAATTCCGCGGAAGAAAATGAGATAATGCAGAAACCAGAGCTGAGTAACTTCGTTAATTCTAAAGCTGGGAAATCCTCAAAATTGAACCCTAAACGTGTTGGAGCTGCTTGGGCAGAGAGAAGAAAGCTCGAGTTGGAGTTGGAAAGGAGAGGGGAGGTTATTACCAAGGATTATGATGCTAACTGGCTTCCTAATTTTGGCGGAGTTTGGCAATCTGGTACGAGGAGAAAATCGAGAAAAGAATTCCAGGTGGAGAATAAAAAATCTCTCGAGTTTGATAGTCAATCAGAAAGTTTTGTGCCGTTACAGCCTTACATCAGCAAACGAATGGTGAGAACTTGCACTCCGTAAGCTGCTTCTCTTTCTGCTTATGTTATTAACAGCTTATTTAAGTTGTTCCAAAATATTCACGTTAATACCTTCCAATTTTTCCACTGCAGCGGAGAGATAAAAGTGAATGATAGAAATCACATCAGAAGAAGCTCGACTGAAGTCGTCACTCAATCAGCGTTAGTTAGTCCAAACTAATCGGTACCTTCATGTTAATACGGTTAAAGCTTTAACCATGGTTATCAAGAAATGTAAGTGAAAATTTTGATAATCTCGAAACACTTTTTGCAGTAACATCAGTATTCGTTGGTAATTCTTCCTTGTTTAAAAAAACACCAAGATCCGCTATTTACATATATATATGCGTTCATTGACTATGATTCACGCAAACTTGAAAATTGACAGTTGTTAGGTAATTCGGATAACAATGAACTACGATAGTGAAGGATCGATGATGTTGTAACATCATCGTATAGGTAGCGTATATCAATTCTGTATAGTTGGTAAAAAATTATCCGTTGAATTTGATATTTTATGTAAGTTTCGATCTCTCAAGCATTACTACACACTAATTTTGTGGTGTACAATTCATGTGCATGCCATTTTGTATGTCCACACATTTGCTTGTAATAATACATGTGGTTATGTGTTATGTACATGTGGATATGTTCGATGCAGGTATAGATCATCATACAGTATCTATTGGAACTCCATTTTTTTTTCTATTAATAAACTTTATCTGAGTTATTGGATCTATGATTGATTATTCGATTAGACCTCGTTTGGGAATGTTAATGAACTAATAAGATTGATTGAGTTGGTTATACGACTACACGAACGTTGTTCATTATAACGTAATATGCGATATTTACGTTAATTTGGCTCTTTAAAATCAAGAACCGTCGTTCGATGGTGGTTAAAATGCAGTTTGTGGCCTGCATCTATCGAACAGCAGAAAAAATGTAATATTTTATTGCAATGTATGAATAATAGTTATGTGGTAGGGTATATATGGATAATATGTCACACACTATGGATAAACAGATATAACGAAATGAAATAAATTATTATAGAAAAATAAAAATAATTTGTATTTCAGCTTTTATTACAATGATGAACAAGTTGGGTGGGGTCAAAAATCATAGATCTATTTTTAGCCACAAAAAATGAAAATTGATCAAGAAAATCTATTACCAAGCAAACAGAATCACACTAATATCTCCCTGTAGGGCATTGTCTTCCACGAAATAAAGATTAAGAGAGAGAAAGTAACATTAAAGAACAGAACTTCTACAGTCTTCTTTATTCCTTTAGAGAGAGAAAGAGAGAGCACTTGTTGTACAGCTCAGAAAAAGATTGGGAGACATAGCACACAAGGGACACGTGTCGTGGGCCCACTTCATCTCTCAGCCACACAAAAGAGAACTCTCTCTCTCTCTCTCTCTCACACACAGTGTGCCCACCACCAAAGAATCCATTTTTTTTATTTCTTGATAATATATATCTTTGTTGGGAAATTAAAATAATACCGGTAATCCTACGTGGCTTCCCTTCTTCCTGTTTTTCCCTCTTTTATTTCATTTTATTTCTCCCCATTTTATACATCTTTTACACTACTCTTCTCTCTCACTCTCTCTCTCTACATTTCTCTCTCTCTCTCTTGATTCTTGAATGATTTCTTTTTTTCTGAGTGATAGCTTTATTGATTCTTATTTTTGGCTTTTCACATGTCTCAAACTGTTTGATGCCAAATGCTAGTGTGAGAGCTTGGATTAAAGATCAAGATCAAATCTTTTTATCTTTCTTGAATTTTATTTTGCATTTCATTTATTTTTCTTGTATCAGTGATTCATTGGAGCTATGGTTGCTGAAGCTAAGGTGTGTATTGTTCATTTTCTTTTGAATAATTTGTGCTTTATATCTGCATTTAATTGCTTTTTCTTTTTATGGATAAATTATGATCTGCTTAGTTAGTGATCTATGATGAAATTTATGCTTACAAACTATAGAGACAGATACATGTATTATAGATATATTAACAGAAGAAAGTTTGCTTTTTTCTTGATGGGTTCTGGTTCTTATAGAGCTGATGCTGAATTATATATGCTAAATCAGATTTATCTTGAATTTTGAGTTATACCAAGTTACTACTAGCTCATATGTTGATCTTAGTCCTTTTAGGTCTTGTTTGGTTGGTAATTAAGATAAGTGTTGTTTGGTTGGTACAATATTTTTCGGGCTGGCCCGCAATTATGGAAAATCGAGCTCCTATCTTCGCTTATTTAATAATCATGTATCGAATCTCCCGTTAGCCTAATTATATGATTGGATTCTTGAAAAAATGACTGATCTTATCTTCGGAACCAAACAAGGCCTAAAAGATTTAGCTACTTACTGCAATTGCTGAAATATATGAGTTAATTAATCCAATTCATGAAATTCTCAGTTACGAACTTCATCGTAGACATCCGTGTTAATGTAGAATGTTCTTTTTATTACGTATACTAGGTGAGGAAACCATACACCATCACAAAGCAGAGAGAAAAATGGACAGAGGAAGAACATCAAAAGTTTCTAGAAGCTTTGAAGCTATACGGTCGCGCTTGGCGTCAAATAGAAGGTATAAGGTCGTTCGATTCGACGACAGATAAAAAAAAAAAATTACTACAACGAAAATTTGTTTTTGTCAACAATAATAATGAAAGATTTAATTGACATGCAGAGCATGTTGGCACAAAGACAGCAATCCAAATCCGAAGCCACGCGCAAAAATTCTTCGCTAAGGTCGCTAGGGAATCTTGTTTCGATGCCGAAGGATCTTTAGATCCAATTGAGATTCCTCCTCCCCGGCCTAAGAAGAAACCTTTGCATCCTTATCCTCGTAAACGGGTCCCACATCGAGCGGAAGTTGATGAATGTGAGAATTACTCTCCGACTTCGGTTTTGTCGCCGGATAAATTCGAATCGTCCAATGTTTCTGAGATTCACAAGTCTCGAATTTCACCACCTTCTTCGTGTGCTGATAACGATGCTCTTTCTTCCGCCGACTTATTTTTGGCGGAAAATAAAAATGAAAATGAAAATGAAAATGAAAATGAAAATGTGGCATCAAATATGTCGTGTGAAGACGAAGAGGGTTCTCATTTACCGAAGAAAATATCTTCCGCTTCGGTCCAAGATATCGATTCCGATGTGGTGAGTGAGCAATTAAATCCGATTTGAAAATTCTTGAAAAAAAAATAAAAAATTAATATACTATTATTAATTTTTTTTTTTGCAGAAGTTCGAATTGTGTACTCAAGAGACGGAATCTTGCACCAGAGAATCCTACACGACGAGTATTAAGCTATTCGGAAAAACAGTTGTGATAAGAGATACTCAAAAGCAGTCTTTAGAAGCTTCCAATAAATTAGATTCGCGAGATGTGTCGGGATTTGTTTACGACAATGCAAATTATTCTCCGATGGAGTACAAACATGATATGCCTTGGTATAGTTGGTACACTAGTCCATTTTATTCCTCGTCAGCCTGCAAGAAAACGGACAAAGAGGATTTTTCCGATTATCCGTTCGAAAAAGCAATAAAAGACGAAGAGCTTAAGACGGAAGGCTCTTTGGTTTCTGATGGAGCCGATTCTAATGGTCTGTTTGGTTATGGGAATAACAAAATCGGAATAGGGTTTGTGCCGTACAAGAGATGTTTGTCCGAGAGGGATGATAAATCGTTCCTACAGGGACGGGATTGTCAACGAGCCCGTGTTTGTTCGTAGCATGCTCGGGTATTATATAATGCTACTGCTTTTTTTTTTTTTTTAATTAACTCTGGTATGAGTATATTATGTCGGAAACTTTTCTCGAGTTGCGAATTAATGTAGAGAAATATGTTTCTTAATATATTGACACCTTTTTTTTTTTTAACTTGACAATTTTCGATTCTTGCCATTGTTCTAGTCTGTAGATATTATTGCATATTTGCAGCTTCACAGTGTATTTTCGAACTTTTGTATTATATTTTCTGCTGCAAATGAAATTCGTTTATACTTAGAATTCATAGAGAAAAATGTGTTTCAAACCGGGAACGGTGATTCCAACCGTAAACAAGGATTTTGCGAACTCTAAGTATCACAATTAACACCTTTAACAATGCAATACTTAATAAAATTGTAGATAAGTGATGCTTTATCACACTGATTGCAGAGGAAATCAAATGAATACATCCAATCATATATTTGGATTGTATAGAAAAAATTAGAATATCTAGTATCCGATCTGATTTAATTTTCGAAATTAATTCCGAAAAATTCCAATTTTTTTTTTTCTGAAAATACACGTAGAAAATATGTGATAACATATGTAAAAGGGAAAAAAAATGAAGTTACTCCAGCTCAATTCATATACGCCTTAATTTTATAGATATTGAGCTCATTAAAATATGATATGCAAATTAATACACATGGGTGCAAGTTGGAATGGTCCGCCAATTCGGATTCGAAAAGTTCGGATTTTGGAACAACTTTTTTCATTTCAACTTCAGAAATTCTGATTTTTTTTTTATTGAAATTAGAATTATATTAAAAAAAAAAAACAATTTTCGATCCGATTTAATTTCCGAAATTAATTCCTACGCATTCACAAACGTGGCCAAATGAACGAATAAATAAATCAAATACAGTTGCCAAAATTTCCTATCACCACGGATTACAAAATTTAAACAAAATTAACATAATTAAAGATGTAAACAAACACACATGAACAATAACACTTTTGCTTATAAGTACACACAAAATTAAAAATAAAATAAAACGAGAGAGAAAATTAAACCCTGGATCATTGATCATCACTTAGCTTCAGCAATCTTGGTCTTCCTCCTCTCCAAGAAGAAGAATCCGAAAAGAGAAACAACCGAGAAAGCAGAGAAGCAAACCGACGCTATGTCGAGCGACACGTGTCGTCCCGTGACGGCCTCGATGTCGAACAGGTTCGTCTTCTTGTCGGCGCTCGTTGTCTGTCCGTACGCCACTTCCATGTCAGCAGCGTCGTGTGCGTATGCCCTGACGAAGTACTTTGCGGTTGGGACGTCCCTCTGAACCGTCCAGGTGGCGGTGGCGACGGCGCCGCCGGCGACGTAGGGTTTGGCGACGATCTTGTGGGAGCATGTTTTGTCCTTTGATAGATCGTCCTTTGTCTTCCTCCAGCCGCGGTCCACTTGGCTGACCGGCGCGTAGCAGAGCTTCACCTTTATCGTCTTGTATGAAGAGTCGGTGCCAGCTGGCACGCTCGGGTCCAGCATCCACGTCACCGTGACGTTGTCCACCCCAGCTTTCAGTACTGTAATATCAATCTATTAATTTAGCGAAATATTTTTTAACACACTGCCTTTGAGTCGGGACCGTGTAAATATATTATTTAAACGAGATTATTAATGTATCGAGTATTAATTTATCGAGATTCACTCTCAGTGTGTGTGTGTGTGAGAGAGCGCAAATGTACCTCCTCCTTTGTGAGTGGCGGTGACGGTTAGAGTCGGCTTCAGAGAATTGAATGAAACGATGCCGTCGCAAGTGGCCACCAAACAACAAACAAAGACCGAAGCGAAAAGGAAACGATTAATCGCCATTCTTGCTATATCGATCGGTTTTTTGAGTCTCCGGATTAATTAATTAATTAATTTCAAGAACACTACTTTCCAAACAATATAGAGAGAGTTGGAAAAGCTAATTAAGCAGATACTTATTGATTAAAGATTATGGGATGTTGAAGATGAATATAAAGTTACAATTTAGTAGGCTTTATATAGAGGATGATTGCATTACAAAATAACAAAAAAAAAAAGAAAAAAAGTAAAAAATTATATATATACAACTTGCAAAAATAAATCCCATATAGTATAAATGGGGGGTGTGGCCCAAAAGCATGTCCAGAGGAGGGGGCAATAAATTGTTTTAGCCATTAATTTGGAGTTGACTTGGATAATAATTATAACATTCTTGAAAATTGGAATAGTTGATTTATTTTTTCTAGAATTGATTAAATTATAATTAGATATATAGTATCTTTTTATTATATATGTTTCAAATTGACTTTTATTAAATAGTATCTTTCAATTTATTATATACATATATATTTTATTATAGGGTTGGCAATGGCATTTTGAAACTAAAATTGTTAGATATTGAGAAGACACTATTTTTATTAGTTAATGGACGTTCATGGGTGTTTCGATAAACGTATTTTAGAATAAGAATTTGAAAAATAAAATGATGCTTGTATACATTGTACTGAAAGTATTTTATATATGTCGGTCAAATCATTTACGAAAGAGGAATTGAAAAGTGTGGATACTTTCATCATCGGGCCAAACAATGTGACACCGTCTTTGGAAAGGCTTTGGATTCATTTTCAGAATCGAGAATCGAGAATTCTTAATCAATCTCCATTAAAATAAATTTAGAAACTACTTTAATTTATTTATTTATTTTCCCTAATAAACATTTTTATCTTGTCCGAATTGAATACCTAGCAAACTCCAAGTATGATATATCATATATGTATGTAACTTGATTTACTAAATATTTTCTAATTAACGTAACCTTTAGAACTTGTTACATGGGTTGAAGTTGGGACACAACTCGATTTAGAGTTAAAAAATTCCTAATATTTATTTATTTATTTATTTTGACAAGATGGCTATTTTTGCCTACTTCATTTGGGATCTATTTTAATAATTATGTGTAGGTACTAATGTCATAATTGAGGACTCGTGTTGGTCTAAACTCCTACACAGTCACATACCCACATGAAAAATAAATAATAAAATTAAAATAAATTAAAAAAAAGGACATTTTCAACTTTCAACAAAAAGTATGTATTTGTCTCTTTAGATCCAAGAAGCCAATAATCTTGTTTTCTGCGTAGCATGTTCCATACAAACCATTCGCGGGCGGAGCCAGAATTTTCTGTCACGTAATTGGGTTAAAGAATAATCGAGAGTTCGGGGACAATGTTCCAGTGATTTATCATGTAAATTAACTTACAAATTATTTAGAATTTGTTCGTGTAAAATTACATACATAGTGCAATAAATCCTTTCGAATTTTTATATTGTGAAAACTCGACTTCTTGAGTGGTTAATTAAACATATAAAATATAATTTTATTTTTATCGAGAGTGGTGGCAGTTCCTGTAGCCTGATTAGAGGGTTTGATGATAGGGCTTGAAATCAAATCAAGCTACTCGATTCGAAATCGTTCATTAAAAGTTCGTTTGAGCTCAATCAATTAGCATAACAAACAAAGTTTAGCTATATGATCAAGGTTCAACGCGCACTTAGCCGCCGTCGCCATCCGACAAACCTGAGAGGTCGTGGTTAGGCTTGGGCTTGAGTTTCCTACTAAAAAAAATTGAATTTGAGCTTCAATCAATTCGTTGTACGATGAGTATCCTGATTTTGAAGGTAATTAATTTTTTGTTCACTGTGTAAGAGAATCGGCAACGGAAGATTGGTTGACAGATTTGGTAACGGGGATTTATCGGTTTACATTGGAGAAATATATTTGTCAAGATCATGAACCTCCTCGATCAGAGTGGAAACGAGAATCACCTAACGGCATCTCACACTATCCAAATTGTTATTTCCACCGGTCACGATAAGGGGTTCCTTTGCTTTATAGATAGAGAGGTTCTCGAGAAATCTCCCTCGTTTCTTAAGGATGACTGTTTAAAGATTGAATGCACACTCAGTGTTGTGACCAATGTCTGACTTACAATGTGAAGAAGGTGTGA